ACATCATTACGCTATTTCTACATCATTGCGCTATTTCTACGTCATTACGCTATTTCTACATCATTACGCTATTTCTACATCCTTACGCTATTTCTACATCATTACGCTATTTCTACATTATTACGCTATTTCTACTTCATTACGCTATTTCTACATCATTACGCTATTTCTACTTCATTACGCTATTTCTACATTATTACGCTATTTCTACTTCATTACGCTATTTCTACATTATTACGCTATTTCTACTTCATTACGCTATTTCTACATCATTACGCTATTTCTACATCATTACGCTATTTCTACATCATTATGATATTTCTACATCATTACGCTATTTCTACATCATTACGCTATTTCTACATTATTACGCTATTTCTACATCATTACGCTATTTCTACATTATTACGCTATTTCTACATTATTACGCTATTTCTACTTCATTACGCTATTTCTACATCATTACGCTATTTCTACATCATTACGCTATTTCTACTTCATTACGCTATTTCTACATCATTACGCTATTTCCACGTCATTACGCTATTTCTACTTCATTACGCTATTTCTACATCATTACGCTATTTCTACATCATTACGCTATTTCTACTTCATTACGCTATTTCTACTTCATTACGCTATTTCTACATCATTACGCTATTTCTACTTCATTACGCTATTTCTACATCATTACGCTATTTCTACATCATTACGCTATTTCTACATCATTACGCTATTTCTACATTATTACGCTATTTCTACATCATTACGCTATTTCTACATTATTACGCTATTTCTACGTCATTACGCTATTTCTACATTATTACGCTATTTCTACATCATTACGCTATTTCTACGTCATTACGCTATTTCTACTTCATTACGCTATTTCTACATCATTACGCTATTTCTACATCATTACGCTATTTCTACTTCATTACGCTATTTCTACTTCATTACGCTATTTCTACATCATTACGCTATTTCTACATCATTACGCTATTTCTACTTCATTACGCTATTTCTACATCATTACGCTATTTCTACGTCATTACGCTATTTCTACATCATTACGCTATTTCTACATCATTACGCTATTTCTACATCATTACGCTATTTCTACATTATTACGCTATTTCTACGTCATTACGCTATTTCTACATTATTACGCTATTTCTACTTCATTACGCTATTTCTACATCATTACGCTATTTCTACATCATTACGCTATTCCTACATCATTACGCTATTTCTACGTCATTACGCTATTTCTACATCATTACGCTATTTCTACATCATTACGCTATTTCTACATTATTACGCTATTTCTACTTCATTACGCTATTTCTACATCATTACGCTATTTCTACATCATTACGCTATTTCTACATTATTACGCTATTTCTACTTCATTACGCTATTTCTACATCATTACGCTATTTCCACATCATTACGCTATTTCCACATCATTACGCTATTTCTACGTCATTACGCTATTTCTACGTCATTACGCTATTTCTACATCATTACGCTATTTCTACGTCATTACGCTATTTCTACATCATTGCGCTATTTCTACATCATTACGCTATTTCTACATCATTACGCTATTTCTACATTATTACGCTATTTCTACTTCATTACGCTATTTCTACATCATTACGCTATTTCCACATCATTACGCTATTTCCACATCATTACGCTATTTCTACGTCATTACGCTATTTCTACGTCATTACGCTATTTCTACGTCATTATGCTATTTCTACGTCATTACGCTATTTCTACATCATTACGCTATTTCTACGTCATTACGCTATTTCTACATCATTACGCTATTTCTACGTCATTACGCTATTTCTACGTCATTATGCTATTTCTACGTCATTACGCTATTTCTACATCATTACGCTATTTCTACGTCATTACGCTATTTCTACATCATTACGCTATTTCTACGTCATTACGCTATTTCTACGTCATTACGCTATTTCTACATCATTACGCTATTTCTACGTCATTACGCTATTTCTACGTCATTACGCCATTTCTACGTCATTGCACATGCGCTGTGCTTTCAGTTTCGGTTTTCAATCCGATCAAGTGTTTACATGTTCTCTCGATCGGATTAGAAAAGGAATAAACCACTCCTTTCACTCCGATCGATATTTCATTCGGATCTAGCTCGATCGGGTCGATTAAGGCGTTTACATGAAGGCTAACATTAGCCGTCAGTCCCCTTACTAACGGATTATTTGGTTGCATGTAAACGTAGCAAATGTGAGAAAGAAGGGAATCTGGCCGCTCAGAAGAGACGAGGGAATGTAAAGATCGCGGGTCGTGTTGAGACGGGCTCACCGGTGAAGAGGAACCACAGGTTGTTGGGTTCGATGGCCTCCTGTTCCCCACGCCGGCCCGTTTTCCGGTGCCGGATCTTGTATCCGGTGATGAAGCCGTTCTGCATGTTAGCGTTCGGCGGCTGCCAGCTCACCTTGATGCTCTGAAACATTCACACACAACACACACGTCTCATTTATTGGAGCAAAAATACTGTAAAAATTGTGAAATATTATTAGAATCCAAAATAACTGTTGAATATACAGTAAAGTGTAATTTATTCCTGTGAATTTCCAGCATCATTACTCCAGTCTTCAGTGTCACATGATCCTTCAGAAATCACTCTAATATGAGGATCTGATGCTCAAGAAACATTTATGATTATTATCAGTGTTAAAAACAGTTCATATTTTTGTGCAATCCGTCATACATTGTATTTCTCAGGATTCTTTGATGAATAGAAAGTTCTAAAGAACAGCATTTATTTGAAATATAATCTTTTGTAACATTATAAATGTCTTTACTGCACTTTTGATCAATTTAATGCATCCTTGAATAAAAGTATTAAATTCTTCAAAATAAATCTAACTGACCACAAGCTAGTGTAAATACACCCATACATAATATAATATAAATATATAAAATAATTAGAATATTATAAAAAGTATAAAATCCTTGATTAATAAAGTATATAAAAAATACTGAGTCCAAATTTTTGAACAGTATAATATATAAAAACTATGTTGCTTATTATTATTTTTCAGACAAACATGTTTTGTAGAATTTATACAAATATTACACCTTTTCTTGGTGATGATTACATGATTATTGTATACATTTCGTTCATGCACAACATTTTTTGATATATTTAATTTTAATTTATAAAATATATATATATATATATATATATATATATATATATATATATATATTATATAAAAATGATACATTATAATACAGAGCAGAATATGATTGGAACTGGCTCTTCACACCCATCTTCTGCATGGATCTTTCTCATTAATTATGCAAGAAAAGGCATTTATTATTGTGTAAAGCAGAGGAATGAATGACTGGGTGTGACGGGGTGTTTAGTCGCCGCGGTTGAAAGATCATGTGAGCTCGACCTCTGCTAGCGCTACAAACCCGAGTCAACAGAACCCGTCCTCAGACTCATTACCCTTCACACACACACACACACACACACGCGTCTGCGCAGGAATGCCATCATATGCTCGTCTGCAGCCCTGCCATCTGCGCCCGTTAACATGCAAATCAACCAATTAACATTCACACCACAACACTGCCAACCGCAACACCCGCACCTCACGCTAATGCTAACTCTCGCCAATCCTGCGACAGAACCGGCTGAAGCCATTAGCATTTGTTGGCACTTCCTCCTGTGTGTGTGTGTGTGTGTGTGTGTGTGTGTGAGTGTGTGTTAATGGCAGTAGCTGAGGATTGGTATTTTGGCCCCGTCATTGAGTTAATTATCCCGTGTAGAACAGGAGAAGCAACTCAGAGCAATGTGTTGCTGTGCAGATCTCTCTCTCTGTGTGTGTGTGTGTGTGTGTGTGTGTGTGTGTGTGTGTGTGTGTGTGTGTCGCGAGTGTGTGTGTGTGTGTGTGTGTGTGTGTGTGTGTGTGTGTGTGTGTGTGTGTGTGTGTGTGTGTGTGTGTGTCGCGCGAGTGTGTGTGTGTGTGTGTGTGTGTGTGTGTGTGTGTGTGTGTGTGTGTGAGAGTGTGTGTGTCGTGCGAGTGAGAGAGTGTGTGGGAGTGTGTGTGTGTGTGTGTGTGGGAGTGTGTGTGTGTGTGTGTGTGTGTGTGAGAGAGAGAGAGAGTGTGTGTGTGTGTGTGTGTTAATCTATATACTGTAGCACTACATATATTCACACAGTAGATATATAGACTAACATGTATAGGCAGTAAGAGCCTAAAATGGATTATAATCAATAAAGTGTATTTTATATATAAATGCATACAAACAGGATTAAAACGAGATATTTTATTATGGTTTACAGTTTAAAACTCTTCTGTGAAACTCTCCTCGACTTTCACTTGTTCTCTCGTTTGTTTTGCATGATTAATCTGCAGGGAAACTTCATATTCATAACAGCAAATGGACAACAAATGAAATAAAGCGAGTAAACGACTCGTGAAATCGATGAATATTGAGTCAGTGTGAGTGTGGACTCAGATGAAGCTCTGACCCTCTCTATTCATATCAGACATTAATAACCAGCACACACACACACACACACACAGACAGTCTCATTATCTGGAGAAAAATGAAAATGTTTGAGCCTGAAAACGACCCTGTGTGAACATGATGCATGTGTGTGTGTGTGTGTGTGTGTGTGTGTGTGTGTGTGTGTGTGTGTGTGTGTGTGTGTGTGTGTGTGTGAGAGTGTGCGTGAGGGTGTGTGTGTGTGTGAGTGTGTGTGTGTGTGTGTGTGTGTGTCTCAGTGTCTGAGCAAGTGTTGTGAGTTAAATGTTTCAGTCGCACATTGGCAGAATGTAAAGTGCCACTGCATTGATGTTTAACTCTTAATATAATCGATCGGCGTCTCAGATGATGCTGTTGTTGATGTGTTAACGTCTGATAGAGTGAATCTAAAGTCAGAATCATCATTCTGCAGACGAACACAATGGATCCGGGACGTGGTCTGTGGACGAGCAGAAGCACTGCCAGACACACACACACACACACACACACACACACACACACACACACACACACACACACACACACACACACACACACACACACTGCAGCACAATGAAACCAATTTCCTGTCATAAACAATCGGTTATCGGGCCGCTCAGACAGAGCGCTCATTACAGAGAGAGAGAGATGAGGACACACACTTCATCCCATCACACACACACTGTTCACTCCTTTATTCTGTTAGAGTTACCATGGCAACAGTTCCTCAGTTTAAGTCCAAGTACGAAAATTACTAAAACTGAGGTAAACAGAAACAGAAACAAAATAATATGAATGACAAAAGCACATAAAATGACTAAAACTTCAGCTAAAGTTAAAATGAAAACTGAAAATGTAAAAATAAATGGCAATTCAAAATGTGGATAAATACTATAAAAACATTTAAATAATACTGAAATAACTATTTTAATGCTGCGCAATGTGCGCATGACAGAGAAATCCTCAGAAAACAACAAAATACTTTTAAAAGGTGAGTACAATTATAATATAATATAATATAATGTAAAATAATGTCATGTAATATAATATAATATAATGTAATATAATATTATGTAATGTCATGATCTCATATAATATAATATTATAATGTAATAATATAACATAACATAATGTAATAAAATATAATATAATATAATGTAAAATAATATAATATAACATAATGTAATATAATGTAATGTAATATAATATAATATAATGTAAAATAATATAATATAACATAATGTAATATAATGTAATGTAATATAATATAATATAATGTAAAATAATATAATATAATATAATGTGATGTAATGTAATATAATATAATTGTTACATGTATGCTCTGAGTCGTGTTTCTGTGTGACCCAGGTTTCCCCAATCTGATTGATTAGTGATTTCTTTCACCTGTGTCCTGTTCAGTATCTAATTAAGTTCCTTTGTTTGCTGTGTGTGATCAGATCCTGTGTCTCTCCCTCAGTCTCTGTGTAATCAGACCCTGTGTCTCTCCCTCAGTCTCTGTGTGATCAGACCCTGTGTCTCTCCCTCAGTCTCTGTGTGATCAGGCCCTGTGTCTCTCCCTCAGTCTCTGTGTGATCAGACCCTGTGTCTCTCCCTTAGTCTCTGTGTGATCAGGCCCTGTGTCTCTCCCTCAGTCTCTGTGTGATCAGACCCTGTGTCTCTCCCTCAGTCTCTGTGTGATCAGACCCTGTGTCTCTCCCTCAGTCTCTGTGTGATCAGACCCTGTGTCTCTCCCTCAGTCTCTGTGTGATCAGGCCCTGTGTCTCTCCCTCAGTCTCTGTGTGATCAGACCCTGTGTCTCTCCCTCAGTCTCTGTGTGATCAGACCCTGTGTCTCTCCCTCAGTCTCTGTGTGATCAGACCCTGTGTCTCTCCCTCAGTCTCTGTGTGATCAGACCCTGTGTCTCTCCCTCAGTCTCTGTGTGATCAGGCCCTGTGTCTCTCCCTCAGTCTCTGTGTGATCAGGCCCTGTGTCTCTCCCTCAGTCTCTGTGTGATCAGACCCTGTGTCTCTCCCTCAGTCTCTGTGTGATCAGACCCTGTGTCTCTCCCTCAGTCTCTGTGTGATCAGACCCTGTGTCTCTCCCTCAGTCTCTGTGTGATCAGACCCTGTGTCTCTCCCTCAGTCTCTGTGTGATCAGACCCTGTGTCTCTCCCTCAGTCTCTGTGTGATCAGGCCCTGTGTCTCTCCCTCAGTCTCTGTGTGATCAGACCCTGTGTCTCTCCCTCAGTCTCTGTGTGATCAGACCCTGTGTCTCTCCCTCAGTCTCTGTGTGATCAGACCCTGTGTCTCTCCCTCAGTCTCTGTGTGATCAGACCCTGTGTCTCTCCCTCAGTCTCTGTGTAATCAGACCCTGTGTCTCTCCCTCAGTCTCTGTGTGATCAGACCCTGTGTCTCTCCCTCAGTCTCTGTGTGATCAGACCCTGTGTCTCTCCCTCAGTCTCTGTGTGATCAGACCCTGTGTCTCTCCCTCAGTCTCTGTGTGATCAGACCCTGTGTCTCTCCCTCAGTCTCTGTGTGATCAGACCCTGTGTCTCTCCCTCAGTCTCTGTGTAATCAGACCCTGTGTCTCTCCCTCAGTCTCTGTGTGATCAGACCCTGTGTCTCTCCCTCAGTCTCTGTGTAATCAGACCCTGTGTCTCTCCCTCAGTCTCTGTGTGATCAGACCCTGTGTCTCTCCCTCAGTCTCTGTGTGATCAGACCCTGTGTCTCTCCCTCAGTCTCTGTGTAATCAGACCCTGTGTCTCTCCCTCAGTCTCTGTGTAATCAGACCCTGTGTCTCTCCCTCAGTCTCTGTGTAATCAGACCCTGTGTCTCTCCCTCAGTCTCTGTGTGATCAGACCCTGTGTCTCTCCCTCAGTCTCTGTGTGATCAGACCCTGTGTCTCTCCCTTAGTCTCTGTGTGATCAGGCCCTGTGTCTCTCCCTCAGTCTCTGTGTGATCA